GCTGAGCATGATGGTGGGTGACTATAACCCCAGCTACTTGGGAGGCTGAGGTGGAAAAATCTCTTGAATCCAGGAAGCGGGGTTTGCAGTGGACCAAGATCATGCCTCTGTACTCCAGCCTAGGTGACAGAGTGAGACTCCGTCTCAAAAAAAAAAAAAAACCCTAAAAGCCTGGGCACAGTGGTTCACGTGTGTAATCCCAGCATGTTGGGAGGCCGAGGCAGGCAGATCACAAAATCAGGAGTTCAAGACCAGCCTGGCCAACATGGTGAAACGCTGTTTCTACTAAAAATGCAAAACTTAGCTGGGCATGGTGGTGCATGCCTGTAGTCCACTACTCAGGAGGTTGAGGCAGGAGAATCGCTTGAACCTAGGAGGCGGAGGTTGCAGTGAGCTGAAATTGCACCACTGCACTCCAGCCTGGGTGACAGAATGAGACTCCGTTAAAAAAAAAAAAAAAAAAAAAAAGATTTTAAACTTTTGCAGGAAAGAAACCACACCACAAAGTCAAAAGGCAAATAAAAAACCAACACAGAGGGGTGGGGATGAGGGGGACAGGTAAAGCAAACTCCCTTCTATATAAAAACCCATACGAGCCGGGCGCGGTGGCTCAAGCCTGTAATCCCAGCACTTTGGGAGGCCGAGGCGGGTGGATCACGAGGTCAAGAGATCGAGACCATCCTGGTCAACATGGTGAAACCCCGTCTCTACTAAAAATACAAAACATTAGCTGGGCATGGTGGCTCGTGCCTGTAATCCCAGCTACTCAGGAGGCTGAGGCAGGAGAATTGCCTGAACCCAGGAGGCGGAGGTTGCGGTGAGCCGAGATCGCGCCATTGCACTCCAGCCTGGGTAACAAGAGCGAAACGCCGTCTCAAAAAAAAAAAAAAAAAAAAAAAAAAAAAAAAAAACCCATACGAAGCAGTAGGAAAACCATTAGTAATCCAACAGAAAAGGAGGCAAGGGACTCCCAGGAATGGGCAATTCACAGAAATTAAGTGACCGATGAACTTGAGAAGAGGTGACCAGCCTGCCTTTTAAATAAAGAGAAACAAGTTAAACACAGGTTGTTTTGTTCTCTCAGACTGGCAACGATCAAAACATTTTGAAGAACTCTCAAGCATGGACTTGACCTTTTCATGGTGACCAGGGAGACCTTTGACTCTGAAAATTCAGCAGCCAATAGAAGCAGTTCAACCTCACACCTCCCTGTTGTCCTGTTTGGGTCTCTGTGTTTTCCTTGCCCTCATTCCCCCTCTCAACCTTGCTTCACAAAACTGCTCACAATTTTGTGAATTAAGCTGAGAAATAAATTCAAGCTACTAATTTGTCATCTAATTCATAACGATTGTTCCTGGTAGAAATGAACAAAACAAAATGTATGTGATAACAGCTAAAAATGTACATAGTAAATGTCTTTGCAAAAGCTGATATGAGCCTCAAGGATTTTTTAGCTACTAAATTTAGATGTTAAAAGTTTGACTCCAGCCGGGCGCGGTGGCTCAAGCCTGTAATCCCAGCACTTTGGGAGGCTGAGGCGGGTGGATCACGAGGTCAAGAGATCGAGACCGTCCTGGTCAACATGGTGAAACCCTGTCTCTACTAAAAAAAATACAAAAATTAGCTGGGCATGGTGGCACGTGCCTGTAATCCCAGCTACTCGGGAGGCTGAGGCAGGAGAATTGCCTGAACCCAGGAGGCGGAGGCTGCGGTGAGCCAAGATCGCGCCATTGCACTCCAGCCTGGGAAACAAGAGCGAAACTCCGTCTCCAAAAAAAAAAAAAAAAAAGTTTGACTCCCAGACAATCAGAACTTGGTAGAGATAATGTAGAAGGCTCAAAATAGCAGAAGATATTATTGATAAATAATAATTGATATTGCCAAAAGCTGACCTATAAATTAAATATGTGTTACAAAATCTTGGCTGGGTGCAGTGGCTAAGGCCTGTAATACCAGCACTTTGGAAGGCTGAGGCGGCTGGATCACCTGAGGTCAGGGATTCGAGACCAACCTGACCAACATGGTAAAACTGTCTCTACTAAAAATACAAAATTAGCCGGACACGTGACGCACACCTGTAAAAACTCTGTCTCAGCTATTTAGGAGGCTGAGGCAGGAGAATCACTTGAACCTGGGAGGCAGAGGTTGCAGTGAACGGAGACCCTGCCATTGCACTCCAGCCTGGGCAACAAGAACGAAACTCCCATCACACACACACACACACACACACACACACACACACACACACAAAATGCCAGGCACGGTGGTGGCTAATACCTGTAATCCTAACACGTTGGGAGGCTGAATCAGAAGGATCACCTGAGGTCAGGAGTTCGAGACCAGCCTGGTCAACATAGTGAAACCTGTGTTTACTACAAATACAAATCTTGGTGGGGCGCGGTGGCTCACGCCTGTAATCCCAGCACTTTGGGAGGCTGAGGGAGTTTGAGACCAACTGGCCAACATAGTAAGACCCTGTCTCAATTAAAAAAAAGAATTAATACACAAATGAAAATGGAAAAACAATAACCTTTCTTTCTCTTTCCTTCTTTCCTTCCTTCTTTTCTTTCTTTCTCTCTCTCTCTCTCTCTCTCTCTTTCTCTCTTTCTTATCAAGACAGGCTCTCACTCTGTTGTCCAAACTGGAGTGTGGTGGTGCCATCTCAGCTCACTGCAAACTCTGCCTCTCAGGCTCAAGCAATCCTCCTGCCTCAGCCTCCCTAGTAGCTGGGACCACAGGCATGCAATACCATGCCTGGCTAATTTTTGCTTCTTTTTTTTTGTAGAGACAGGGTTTCACCATGTTGCCCAGGCTGTGTTGCCCAGGCTGATCTCGAATTCCCGAGCTCAAGCGATCTACCTGCCTTGACCTCCCAAAGTGCTGGAATTTCAGGTGTGCACCACTGTGCCTGGCCAATAACCTGATCTCTGTTCCCTGTTTTTCCACTCTCAATCTTATACTTAGGTGCCTTTTGACCCCAGGGGAAAAATATCTAGCCATCAGAACTGCCAATAACAGGAAGAATATATATATTTTTTTGAGAATGAAATGTTGCCCTTCATAGCAGATGCTTCAGCATGTTCTCCATGAATGTGGCTACTGGATGTGTTTTGGCATAACCGTCATGTGTTTGGCATGGATAGCACCCAGTTTGGTGTCTTCAAGAAGGCCAACCAGGCGGGCCTCACTTGCCTCCTGCAAAGTGCGAGGAGCTGTGTCCTGGAAGCCCAGATGTGTTGTGAAGACCTCAGCAATTCCAGTGGCGTTATTTTTGGTTTATTTTTGTTTTTTCTTTACTTCAAATCTTTTTCTTTTTTGAGACAGTGTCATACTGTGTTGCCCAGGCTGGAGTGCAGTGGCATGATCTCGGCTCACTGCAGTCTCCCTCTACGGCTAAAGCGACCCTCCAACCTCAGCCTTCAGAGAAGCTGGGACCACAGGTGTGCACCACCATGTGCCACTAATTTTTTTTTTTTGGTACTTTTTGTAGAGATGGGGTTCTCACTATGTTGCCCAGGCTGGTCTCGAACTTCTGAGCTCAAGCGATCTGCCCACCTTGGCCTCTCAAAGTGCTGGGATCACAGGTGTGCGCCACCAGTAGACTTCTGAGAATGTCTGAGGTCACGGGCCCAGTACCCGCTCATAAGGATGGGGTTTCTTCACCTTCGGGCAGAAGGCACACACTTGACAGTGGCAAACATTGCTTCCTGGGTGCTTTGTCACAGGTACATTTGTGGAACCGTGGGCTTTGTGGTATAGAGACTGCCTTACCCACCCTTCTCCTTCTGCGGGAGCTTGGGAGCCAGAGGCAGTGCTGGCCTTAGAGAGCGGCAGCCGTAAACCCAGCCCTAAATGTTGAGGATTTACTGCCCATTAGAATGTCCACTAACTTCATAATGTGCATCTCGTTAGTATTATATGTGTAACTCATGTGAATGGTATCAATATAAGAAATAATATTTTTTGTTTACTCTTAGGGGAAAGTCTGGGCAACATAGCCAGACCCTGTCTCTACAAACAAAACAAAAGAAAAGAAAACAAGCCAGGCATGACAGTGGTCCTAGCTACTTGGGAGGCTGAGGTGGGAGGATCGCTCGAGCCCAGGAAGTCGAGGCTGCAGTGAGCCATAATCACACGACTGCACTCTAGCCTGGGCAACAGAGCAAGACACTGTCTCAAGAAAAAGGGGGTGGGGTGGGGGACCAGTTAATAGCTCACAAGACAGTGGAATTAACTGTGGATTCATTTAACCTGACGTCTTTTCCCCAGCGGGTGCAGGACCGAGGGGTGATGCCCATCTGCCAGCATTTCTAACAGGGCAGGTACAGGGAGAGGGGAAGCTGGTTCGAAGCGATGTCAAGAGTGGGGAACACAAAAAACCAAAAACGAATGAGTTTGCAGGCTAAGGGCTTAGCACGAGTGTGCTGGACAGGGGCCGGCTGCTCCTTGAACCCACTACGGGCACTTCAGTCCATCCTCAGCTGTTTTTTGCACGCAGTCTTTGTTTTTTATTTTTCTTTCTTTTTTTATTTTTATTATGAGACAGTCTTATTTATTTATTTATTTATTTAATTTCTGGAAACAGTCTCATTCTGTTGCCCAGGCTGGAGAGCAGTGGTGCAATCTCAGCTCACTGCAACCTCTGCCTCCTAGGTTCAAGCACTTCTCCAGTAATAACTGGGAGTACAAGCGTGCGCCACCACACCCCGCTAATTTTTGTATTTTTAGTAAAGACAAGGTTTTGCCTCGATGGCCAGGCTGGTCTCGAACTCCTGGCCTCAAGTGATCCTCCCGCCTCGGCCTCCCAAAGTGTTGGGATTACAAACTTAAGCCACTGCGCCCGACCTGCACGCGCTCTTTGCAAGAAGTCGAGGAGACGCTAAGTGTGGGCAGGGGCGAGCTGGCGCGGGGTCGCCGGGTGCACAGCTCCCCCGGGGCCGAGCAACACGGCGGGCGGACTACAATTCCCGGCACGCCCCGCGCCGCTCCGCCTCTAATCCCAGACGGCCGCGCGGGGGACCGCCTAAGAGGGCGTGCGCTCCCGACATGCCCCGCGGCGCGCCATTAACCGCCAGATTTGAGTCGCCGGACTGTTTGGCAGAGGTGGCGGCGGCGGCATGGGTGCCCCGACGTTGCCCCCTGCCTGGCAGCCCTTTCTCAAGGACCACCGCATCTCTACATTCAAGAACTGGCCCTTCTTGGAGGGCTGCGCCTGCACCCCGGAGCGGGTGAGACTGCCGGGACTCTCGGGGTCCCTCAGGGCCCGCCTTGCCCTGTGCCTAGCGGGGCCACTGTGACTGGGCCCCGGGGGTACGAGCCGCCCTCCCCTCCCCGTCCTGTCCCCAGCGAGGCCGCTGTGACTGGGCCCCGGGGGTACGAGCCGCCCTCCCCTCCCCGTCCTGTCCCCAGCGAGGCCACTGTGACTGGGCCCCGCGGGTCCGGGCCGCCCTCCCCTCCCCGTCCTGTCCCCAGCGAGGCCACTGGGACTGGGCCCCGGGGGTCCGGGCCGCCCTCCCCTCCCCGTCCTGTCCCCAGCGAGGCCACTGGGACTGGGCCCCGCGGGTCCGGGCCGCCCTCCCCTCCCCGTCCTGTCCCCAGCGAGACCACTGGGACTGGGCCCCGCGGGTCCGGGCCGCCCTCCCCTCCCCGTCCTGTCCCCAGCGAGACCACTGGGACTGGGCCCCGCGGGTCCGGGCCGCCCTCCCCTCCCCGTCCTGTCCCCAGCGAGACCACTGGGACTGGGCCCCGGGGGTCCGGGCCGCCCTCCCCTCCCCGTCCTGTCCCCAGCGAGGCCACTGGGACTGGGCCCCGCGGGTCCGGGCCGCCCTCCCCTCCCCGTCCTGTCCCCAGCGAGACCACTGGGACTGGGCCCCGCGGGTCCGGGCCGCCCTCCCCTCCCCGTCCTGTCCCCAGCAAGACCACTGGGACTGGGCCCCGCGGGTCCGGGCCGCCCTCCCCTCCCCGTCCTGTCCCCAGCGAGGCCACTGGGACTGGGCCCCGGGGGTCCGGGCCGCCCTCCCCTCCCCGTCCTGTCCCCAGCGAGGCCACTGGGACTGGGCCCCGCGGGTCCGGGCCGCCCTCCCCTCCCCGTCCTGTCCCCAGCGAGGCCACTGGGACTGGGCCCCGCGGGTCCGGGCCGCCCTCCCCTCCCCGTCCTGTCCCCAGCGAGGCCGCTGTGACTGAGCCCCGGGGGTACGAGCCGCCCTCCCCTCCCCGTCCTGTCCCCAGCGAGGCCACTGGGACTGGGCCCCGCGGGTCCGGGCCGCCCTCCCCTCCCCGTCCTGTCCCCATCAAGGCCTCTGTGGCTGGGCCTCTGGGTTCCAGGCTGCCGCGTCCACTCACGAGCTGTGCTGTCCCTTGCAGATGGCCGAGGCGGGCTTCATCCACTGCCCGACTGAGAACGAGCCGGACTTGGCCCAGTGTTTCTTCTGCTTCAAGGAGCTGGAAGGCTGGGAGCCAGATGACGACCCCATGTAAGTCCCCTCTGGCCAGTCTCGATGGGCTTTAGCTGTCAGATTTGAAATGTGAAGACGCTTAATAGTGGGAGTTTTGCTTTCCAGCCTCACTGTTTCTTAAACAGCCATTGTGAACAGATACCTCTCTAAATGCTGGTGCCTTGGTGTTGCTTACAGCCTAATTAAATGTCATTTGACCAAAATGCCCTTAGGGTGGATGTGAAAGTCTCATTCACTTAAGATGCCTGATGCCTTTCAGGTTCAACAGAATACATTAGAAGACCCTGCTGCTGTGAGCTCCCAGGAATGTCCAAGCACTTCCCTTGAGATTTTTTTAAAAAAACAGTTTAATTGAAATATAACCCACAGAACACAAAAATTACCCTTTGAAAGGGTAGTTTTTCACATTTTGGGAAGGCTGAGGCCAGCAGATCACCTGAGATCAGGAGTTTGAGACCAGCCTGGCCAACATGGTGAAACCCTATCTCTACTAAAAATACAAAAATTAGCCGGGCATGGTAACATGCACCTGTAATTCTAGCCACTCTGGAGGCTGAGGCAGGAGAATTGCTTGAACCTGTGAGGCGGAGGTTGCAGTGAGCCGGAATAGCACGACTGCACTCCAGCTTGGGCGACAGAGCGAGACTCCGTCTTAAACATTTAAAAAAAAAAAAAAAAAGTGTACACTTCAGTGTTGTTTTGGATTTTGTTCTTCAAGATGCCTAGTTAATTAAAATGAAGTTCTGTGCTTGAATGATATTTGTTTTCTACGCTGTCATGCCATATTCTTTTCTCACCTTTTTTTTTCTGTCAGAATCAGTTGCTTCCACAACTTTAATTTTTTCCCCTAGAGAATCACCCCAGTTGTTTTTCTTCCTGATCAGAAGAGTGTAGCTGTTTTTTTCTTATTATATTCACTATGGTGGTTATACTGCATCCCCGTGATCACTGGGAAAATGTCAGTGGTATTCTTTTTTTTTTTTTTTTTTGAGACGGAGTTTCGCTCTTATTACCCAGGCTGGAGTGCAATGGCGCGATCTCGGCTCACCGCAACCTCCGCCTCCTGGGCTCAGGCAATTCTCCTGCCTCAGCCTCCTGAGTAGCTGGGATTACAGGCACGTGCCACCATGCCCAGCTAATGTTTTGTATTTTTAGTTGAGACGGGGTTTCACCATGTTGACCAGGATGGTCTTGATCTCTTGACCTTGTGATCCACCCACCTCGGCCTCCCAAAGTGCTGGGATTACAGGCTTGAGCCACCGCACCCGGCCCCAGTGGTATTCTTGAAAATGAATGTGTTATCACATTTTCAGATTAGAGCTAACTACTGGCTGTCCTTTCGTACTTTGTGTGGCCATGTTTTCATTGTAATACCGCTCTGGTAACGGCAATAATCAGTTATGCAGGGAGACAAGCAGCAAATGAGAATCTGAGCTAGAGGGGTCCCTTGGAGAACCCTGGTGGATAATACCCTTATTTGCTGTTAATCCTTACAGTGGATTTCATAACAATTCCAGTGAAATGAAATTACTTCAAACAGTTCCTTGAGAATGTTAGAGGGATTTGACACGTGATTCTTTTGGACTTACACCGTATAACACTTTCTCACCTAATTGCTAAAGAAGTCCAGGTAAAATGGATATGTTAGCCACATGGACGTAGGGAGAGAGGTCCACAGTGAGGGAGAAGCTGCTAAGAGGGGCCGTACGGGAATGTGGCTTGGACACAGCACTGATTCCATCAACTTCAGACTTGATGTTTTGCTCCTGAGGCAGAGCAGGGTGTTCCGGGGGAGGGCGGGAAGGTGACCTATGAGGAGTGGACTGCCGCCTTCATTCCTTCAGCTGCCTTTCCGCTGTTGTTCTGATTTTTCTAGAGAGGAACATAAAAAGCATTCATCTGGTTGCGCTTTCCTTTCTGTCAAGAAGCAGTTTGAAGAATTAACCCTCGGTGAATTTCTGAAACTGGACAGAGAAAGAGCCAAGAACAAAATTGTATGTATTGGGAATAAGAGCTGTTCAAACCCTGTTCAATGTCTTTAGCGCTAAACTAGTCCAGGGACCCCTGTTTTTCCTCAGGAAGCTTTTTTTTTTTGTTTTTTTTTTTTAAACAGTTTCACTCTGTTGGCCAGGTTAGAGTGGAATGGCTTCATCTTGGCTCACTGCAACCTCTACCTCCTGGGTTCAAGAGATTCTCCTGCCTCAGCCTCCTAAGTAGCCAGGATTACAGGCACACACCACCACACCTGGCTAATTTTTGTGTTTTTGGTGGAGACGGGGTTTTGCTGTATTGGCCAGGCTGGTCTTGAACTCCTGACCTCAGGTGATCTGCCCACCGTGGCCTCCTAGAGTGCCAATATTATAGGCATGAGCCACCACGCCCGGCCTGGGCATCATATAGTCTTATTTGCTAAGTCTGGCAGCCCTACACAGAATAAGTGTAGCAAAGCTCTGGGTGGAGAGTCAGGAGATGTCAATTCTCTGCCACTTGCAGACTTAGTGAATTTAAGCCAGTTGTCATACTTTCCTTACTAAATAGAGGTTAGACACCCCCCCAATCCAATGGTTTCTGAGGTCCCTTTTCAGCTTGAAAATTGTGTTCCTTTTTAGAGATAGGTGTAAAATAATTCTGTCCAATATAATGGCTTTTTTTTTTTTTTTTTTTGAGATGGAGTCTCTCCCTGTCACCCAGGCTGGAGGGCAATGGTATGATCTCAGCTCACTGCAACCTCCACCTCCCGGGTTCAAGTGATTCTCCTGCCTCAGCCTCCTGAGTAGCTGGGATTACAGGTGTGTGTCACCATGCCTGGCTAATTTTTTGTATCTTTAGTAGATATGGAGTTTCACCACGTTGGCCAGGCTGGTCTCAAACTCCTGACCTCATGATCCACCCACCTCAGCCTCCCAAAGCGCTGGGATCAGGGCATGAGCCACTGTGCCTGACCATCGTGGTTTGTTTTTGTTTTGTTTTAAGACAGTTTCACTCATTCACCCAGGCTGGAGTGCTATGGTGCGATCTAGGCTCACTGGAACCTCTGTCTCCCAGGTTCAAGTGATTCCATGCCTCAGGCTCTCAAGTAGCTGGGATTACAGGTGTATACCACCAGGCCTAGCTAATTTTGGTATTTTTAGTAGAGATGGGGTTTTGCCATGTTGGCCAGGCTGGTCTCAAACTCCTGGCCTCAGCAGATCTGCCTGCCTTGGCCTCCCAACGTGCTGGGATTACAGGTGTGAACCACCATGACTGGCCTCAATATAGTGGCTTTTAATATTACATTTTGTCAGAAAGAGGGAAGCCGTCAGTGGTAGGTGCAGCGGGCTGTGGGAGAGCTTGTCACCTGGTTAAGGTTGTGGGAACTGCAGCGTGGGAACTGGAAAATGGGCTGGGGAGCATCTTTTTCTGGGTCAGAGGTCAGCCAACTCTTCTGTAATGTACCATAGACCATCTCTTAGCCTTCGTGGGTCAGAGTCTCTGCTGCATATTGTGTTTTTGTTGTAGCTTTTCACAACATTTTAGAAACATAAAAAGCATTCCTAGCCTGTATGCTGGACAATAAAAGGCAATGATGGGCTGGATGGATTTGGCCAGCAGGCCCTTGTTTGCCAAACCCTGTTGTAGATGAGGAGTAGCTTGTGTGCCCGGAACCTGCATGAGCGCGGGGGAGGAGCAGTGGATGTGGCGTTGTGAGCTGGAAGCCAGGTTCCAGAGCACTGAGAAAGCCAGGGTTGTTGCCGTTGCAAACAGAGCAGCTGAAATCTGACACAGGCCAGTTCCAGAAAGCCCTGAAGCGCTGGTGGGTGCTGGGGGTGCTCCATTCCGGGGTTACATTACAGGGATGAAGATGTGGTCTGGTAGGGGAAAGTCAAGTCACCTTTTGGAAGATGTGACTAACAAAAGCAGGCTTTGGGATGTATGAGCCGAAGGGGCAGGAGGCGGAAGTAGAGGCCTCATCCCCTGCGGGAGACCCCCCTTGTCTCCATCTCCTGTGCACTGCAGTCAGACCCAGCCAGACTGGAATGAGGGAAGACATCCCAGCCTTCGAGAAAGGCGGGGAGATTTTTAAAAACTGTCTGGCTTTTATTTTGAACTGTTTTTTGTTCTCGCCTATTTGGAATGCAGAATACTTTTAAATTATGGATTTGTTTTTATTACTTTGTTTAATTGTTGAACAATACAATTTTTTTTTTTTTTTGACATAGGCTCTTACTCTGTCACCCAGGCTGAGTGCAGTGGTGCGATCTTGGCTCACCGCAGCCTCTACCTCCTGGGCTCAAATGATCACAACTCGGCCTCCCCAGTAGTTAGGACCACAGGCCTGTGTGTTGCACTATACAAACCCTGAAGACAAGGAGAGATGCTGTTGCTGGTGATGCTGGGGATTCCCAAGCTCCCAGATTTGACATCAGGACTCCCCTGTCGGCCGCCTTGCCAGCGTGCCGGGAGGGCGCTGCTGTGGAGGCTGAGGTCTGGCCACCCCGGGCTATGTGCTGGGCACTGATTCTTGTTTTGCTGCTGCCTTGCTGCTTCAGCTTTTGAATCAATGCAACATTAGAACCAATGTGAAAATCCACCAGTTTAGGGAATAAATTTGATGTGGAAATAAACAGAGCAACTTAGTTCTTCATCAGAGTTTTCTTTGTGAATACTTGTGATGGGGACAAAACGACGCACTAGAAGGAGCGGTGAGGTGTAGACCTGGGTGGCAGGAGTTTTTGTTTGTTTTCAGAGACAGGGTCTTGCTCTGTTGCCCAGGCTGGAATACAATGGTGCAGTCACAGCTCACTATAGCCTCAATCTCCTGGAATCAAGCGATCCTCCTGCCTCAGCCTCCCCAGTAGCTGGGACGACAGTCCCATGCCACCATGCCTGGCTTTTTTTTTTTTTGAGACAGAGTTTCACCCTTGTCACCCTTGCTGGAGTGCCATGGCGCATTCATGGCTCACCGCAACCTCCGCCTTTCAAGTTCAAGTGATTGTCCTGCCTCAGCCTCCCAAGTAGCTGGGATTAAGACGCCTGCCACCACAGTTGGCTAATTTTTTTTTGTATTTTTAATAGAGATGGGGTTTCACCATGTTGGCCAGGCTGGTCTTACACTCTTGGCCTCGGGTGATCTGCCTGCCTCAGCCTCCCAAAGTGCTGAAATTACAAGCATGAGCCACCGTGCCTGGCCCAATTAATTTTTTTGTAGAGGCTGGGCGCGGTGGCTCAAGCCTGTAATCCCAGCACTTTGGGAGGCCGAGGCGGGTGGATCACGAGGTCAAGAGATCGAGACCATCCTGGTCAACAAGGTGAAACCCCGTCTCTACTAAAAATACAAAAAATTAGCTGGGCATGGTGGCGCGTGCCTGTGATCCCAGCTACTCAGGAGGCTGAGGCAGGAGAATTGCCTGAACCCAGGAGGCAGAGGTTGCGGTGAGCCGAGATTGTGCCATTGCACTCCAGCCTGGGTAACAAGAGCGAAACTCCGCCTCAAAAAAAAAAAAAATTTTTTTGTAGAGACAGGGGTCTTGTTATATTGGCCAGGGTTGTCTTGTATTCCTGGGCTCAACTGATTCTCCTGCTTTGGCCTCCAAAAGTGCTGGGGTTATAGGCATGAGCCACCACATCCAGCTGTAAGTTTTGTCAGTGAGTTTTGTTTTTTCTTTTCTTTTTTCTTTTTTTCGAGATGGAGTCTCGTTCTGTCACGCTGGAGTGCAGTGGCACAATCTTGGCTCACTGCAACCTCCGCCTCCTGGGTTCAGGCAATTCTCCCACCTCAGCCTCCCAGGTAGCTGGGATTACAGGTGCATGCTACCACACCTAGCTAATTTTTTGTATTTTTAGTAGAGACAGGGTTTTGCCATATTGGCCAGGCTGGTCTCAAACTCCTGACCTCAGGTGATCCACCTTCCTTGGCTTCCCAAAGTGCCGGGATTACAGGTGTGAGCCACCGTGCCTGTCCTGTTTTATTTTTCAATAGTGAGAGTTCTTGTGTTTGCTTCGCCCCTCCCTTTATTGGAAAAAAGTATAAAATGGAGATATTGGCCTCCACATTGGGGTGGTTAAAATTACAGCATGTATGCGAAGGAGCTTAATTTTAGGCTTTTTTGAAAGAGAAGAAGAAACTGAATAATCTGTGTGTGTGTGTGTGTGTGTGTGTGTGTGTGTATTTAAAGCCATGGTTATCTTTCCATACTAGGAGAGGTGAGGCTCCCAGGACTGCAGAGATGTCTGTTAGAGTCCATTGCAAGGTGCACTGTTGGGCCAGATGTGCTGGCTTGTGCCTGAATCCCAGCACTGTGGGAGGCCAAGGCAGGAGGATTGTTTGAGCCCAGGAGTTTTCAGGCCAGCCTGGGCAATGTGGCCAGACCTCATCTCTTCATAAAATACACAAATTAGCCAGGCATGGTGCCAGGTGCCTGTAGTGTCAACTACTCAGGAGGCTCAGGTGGGAGGATCGCTTAAGCCCTGGGGGTCAAAGCTGCAATGAGCCATGATCTTGCCAACGAATTCCAGCCTGGGCGACAGAGTGAGACCCTGTCTCTAAAACAAAACACAAAGTACACTGTTTTATTTTTTTCTTATCAATTTATTATTTTAAAATTAAATTTTCTTTTCAGAAGATACAAATAACACTTATACATGAGGTAAAACATAGGTTATGTTAAGATATATAAAGTATATATTGAGTCGGGCTCAGTGGCGTGTGCCTGTGGTCCCAGCTACTCAGGAGGCTGAGGCTGGAGGATCTCTTTTTTTTTCTTTTTTTGAGACGGAGTTTTGCTCTTGTTACCCAGGCTGGAGTGCAGTGGCGCGATCTCGGCTTACCGCAGCCTCCACCTCCTGGGTTCAGGCAATTCTCCTGCCTCAGCCTCCTGAGTAGCTGGGATTACAGGCACGCGCCACCATGCCCAGCTTATGTTTTGTATTTTTAGTAGAGACGGGGTTTCACCGTGTTGACCAGGAAGGTCTCAATCTCTTGACCTCGTGATCTACCTGCCTCAGGCTTCCAAAGTGCTAGGATTACAGGCTTGAGCCACCACGACCGGCTTTTTTTTTTTTTTGAGACGGAGTCTCACTCTATCACCCAGGCTGGAGTGCAACGGCACGATCTCAGCTCACTGCAACCTCTGCCTCCCAGGTTCAAACGATTCCCCTGCCTCAGCCTCCTGAGTAGCTGGGATTACAGGCATGTGCCACCGCCCCCAGCTAATTTTTGTACTTTTAGTAGAGACGGGATTTCAACATTTTGGCCAGGCTGGTCTCGAACTCCTGACCTTGTGATCCACCCGCCTCGGCCTCCCAAAGTGCTGGGATTACAGGTGTGAGCCACCGCGCCCAGCCTGGAAGATCTCTTGAGCCCGGGAGTTCTGGGCTGTAGTGCGCTATGCTGATCAGGTGTCTGCACTAAGTTTGGCATCAATATGGTGACCTCCTGGGAGCAGGGTACCACCAGATTGCCTAAGGAGGGGTGAATTGGCCCACATCGGAAATGGAGCAGGTCAAAACTCCCTTGCTTATCGTAGTGGGATTGTGCCTGTGAATAGCCACTGCATTCTAGCCTGGACAACCTAGTGAGACCCTGTCTCTTAAAAATAAAAAAAAAGAAAAAATTGAAGTACATATTGAAAGATAATTTTTCAAGTTAGCTTCTATCAGAAAACAAATTTAATCCAATAGCGGTCTTTGTTTTTTAAGGTAGCAGAGGAGTTAGGATGAATAAAAAATGTGATAGGGAAGAGGGTCTCTGGATTTGCTAATGTGATTGTCATTTGCCCCTTAGGAAAGAGCTCTGTTAGCAGAATGAAAAAGTTGGAAGCCAGATGCAGGGAGGGACTGGAAGCAAAAATAGTTTCTGTTTGAGGAAGATCCTGATGTTTACCAGGGTCTGTTTAACTGGACATGAAGAAGGCTTTGGACTCTAGTAGTTTCAGGACAAGGTATGTCGGTGGTTAAGAGCAGAGCTCTACAGACTAGCTGGGGAACCCTGAGTGGCTGCTTCCGCTGGACCTTGGTTTCCTCATCTCTGTGATAGAGGCATGGGAGCACCCACCGCAGGACCACTGCGAACATAAATCAGTTAATGGGCAAAGCAGGTAGAATGGTGCTGGGTACATACCAAGCCCTCCATCGGTGTTTTCTGTTATTCGATGATTCATGAGGCAGCTTAAACTAGAAGGTGTTGAGTTGAATCAGGATGTTCATCCCATGTAGCTGGGAGTCTGCCCTAGCCAGTGCCCAGCTTATTCAGGTGCTCAGTCAGTGTTCCCTGATTGTTTTTTCCTTTGTCATCTTATCTACAGGATATGAATGGGAAGCTCTAGTTTCAGTGTCATGTGTCTGTTCTTTATTTCCAGGCAAAGGAAACCAACAATAAGAAGAAAGAATTTGAAGAAACTGCGAAGAAAGTACGCCATGCCATCGAGCAGCTGGCTGCCATGGAGTGAGGCCTCTGGCCGGAGCTACCTGGTCCCAGAGTGGCTGCACCACTTCCAGGGTTTGTTCCCTGTTGCCACCAACCTTCCTGTGGGACCCTTAGCAATGCTGTAGGAAAGGAGGTCAACATTTTCAAATCAGATACTTCAACTATACTCTTGTTTTATCTTGAAAGTGGCACCAGAGGTGCTTCTACCTGTGCAGCTGGTGCTGCTTATAACAATGACTGCTTCTCTCTCTCTCTCTCTCGCTCGCTTGCTCTCTCGCTCTCTGTCTCTCTCTCTCTCTTTTTTTTTTTTTTTTTTTTTTAAGAGACGGAGTTTCACCATGTTGGTCAGGCTGGTCTTGAACTCTTGACTTCAGGTGATCCGCCCGCCTCGGCCTCCCAGGGTGCTGGGATTACAGACGTGAGCCACCACGCCCAGCTGATTTTTGCTTTCTTGATTCCTGGACTTACCAGGTGAGAAGTGGGGGAGGAAGAAGGCGGCGTCTCTTTTGCTAGAGCTGATGGCTTTGTTTGCGTGGGCAGAGCCTTGGCAGTGAACGTATCTGGACCTCATGCTGTGGACTGGCTGTCACTCAGTCCTGAGTGTGGACTTGGCAGATGCCTGTTGAATCTGAGCTGCAGGTTCCTCAACTGCTACGTCTGTGCTGCCTCAGCGGCCTTTTTTTTTTTTTTTGGTAGAAGCATGACTTGTGTATAATGAGGAGGGGAATGGAGACAGAGCCCCAGCTCCTCTACAGTTTCTCGACGTGGTTTTCTTCTTTTGTTTGAATTCCTAATTCACAGAATAGCACAAACTGCAATTAGAACTCAGCACAAAGCCATTGTAAGTGATTGGGGAAATCCAGGTGAACTTCAGGTGGATGTGGAGACAGAATAAGGTGACAGGAAGCCTCTAGCAGAAACTCCTTCAGGCAGCTGCTGTGTGATTAGACAGGCCCAGCGAGCCTCAGGGCGTACGCTGGCTGTTCTCCTTGAGAAAAAGGCAGTGGCCTGAATCCTTTGTAAATGACTTGGCTCGGTGCTGCGGGGGACTGGCTGGGCAGCTGCAGGCTGTGTGTCTGTCAGTCCAACCTGTACATCTGTCATGTTCTCCACATGGGGGAAGGATGTACCCTGCCCAGGTCCCTGCTTTCTTCGGAGGCAGCAGCTCCAGCAGGGCTGAAGCCTGGCATAAGTTGATGGATTTGATTTCCCCTCCTCCCTATGGTAGAGCTGCAGGGTGGATTGTTACAGCTTCGTTGGAAACCTCTGGAGGTCCTCTCGGCTGTTCCTGAGAAATAAAAAGCGTGTGATTTCAAACACTGCTGCAGACCCTACTGGGCTTTTTAAATTTTGTCGGTTTTTCATTGTGGTCTCTAGCCTGCCAACAGCCATCTCCTCAGACAGCCCCAGTGAGGATGAGCGTCCTGGAAAAGACGCAGTTGGCCCTGGGTGCTCACCAGAGCCACGAACCCCAGACCTGTTTGTATCACCCGGGCTCCTTCTAGGTAGGAACAGCTGTGAAAATGCACCTCAGACTCACTTATTTCTGCCACATATGAGTCAGGGCCTGAGAGAATATTTTTCCCTCTGAACTTAGAGAATATCACAGTGGTTTGTGTTGGCAGAAAACGCACTCCAGCCTCTGTACTCACCTAGGCTGCTTATTTTTGATATTTGTGCCGGTCTGTAAATGGATAATAACTGTTGCTTAGAAATTGGCTTTGTGGAGAAACTGGAAAATAATGGTTTTATCTTCACCTCCTTTGCACACCAGGGGGTGATGTGGACCTCAGCTTCTGCCAGCGCCGGCCTGTGCTATGGGCAGGGCTCAGCTGGATCCCCCACTCTCAGCCCGTCTGCCACGGCTTTTCCTTAAAGGCCATTCTTAAAACTGGACCCTCTTGGCTGCCAGCACCTGAAAGCTTCATCGATATCTGTTAATAAAGCCATAGGCCCTCATCTAACGGCAACTGCCTAGGCTTTCCTTCAGATATGTGTCCATGTGTCCATAATTCAGGTTCTTTAAGTCGCAGTGGAGTCTGGGAAGGGTTGTGAGTGGAGGGTCCGGGGCTGTCGATGAGGTTCCAATGGCAGGTTAGAACCCTTCGGGCCACCCGCCACCCTGGAAAGCAGAGACGGCCCTGCCCACTGCCCAGAAGAGACCAGCAAGCCAAATCGGAACCCCATGGCAGGCTGCTGCCATGCGGAAGGAATAACTCACGATTGCCAGTAAAAGTCTAATGTGGTTTTATCTATTTTTTTTTTTTTTTTTGGAGACAAGGCCTTGCCCTCCCAGGCTGGAGTGCAGTGGCATGATCATAGCTCACTGCAACCTCAAATTCTTGGGTTCAAGCAAACCTCCCACCTCAGCCTTCCAAGAAGCTGGGACTACAGGCGCACGCCATCACACCTGGCTAATTGAAAACAATTTTTTTATACAGATGGGATCTCACTTTGTTGCCCAGACTGGTCTCAAACTCCTGGCCTGAAGTGATCATCCTGCTTCAGCATCCAAATTGTTGATATTACAGGCATGAGCCACTGCACCTGGCCTAGCTGCCATTTTTTTAAATGCAGAATGTAGATTTTTTAGAGGTGAAATAACTTGTCCAAGACAATAGAACAAGTAAGTTTTAGGGTTGGGATTTGAATCCAGGCAATCTGGCCCCAGAGCTGGGCCCTCACTGCTGAAAGACACTACCAGCTTGGGGGTGTGGCTGTGCCCGGCTATCTTTAAAGCACCCCGTTCCATTTTCAGACAGCTTTGTCCAAAAGGCTGCCATATGGAGCTGACACCTCCCCAAGGCTTCTGTAGATCCTCACTGTACATTTTAACCTTTTATTTTGAAATGCAAGTTCGCAGGGAGTTGTAAGGCTAGTACAGGGGGTCCCGCATACCATTCCCCTCCTTTTCCCCATTGTAAGGACTACGCTGTGTTCACTTTCAACACCCACGGCCTGTGTGGAGAGGAGGAGTTGTGCAGCCCAGCTTGCCCCAAGCCCGTCTTGCCACCACGAAGGGTTTCCTGACTCAGATGAATCTACCTCAACAAAGCCAAGGACCAGCTAAGCTGCAGATTTTCTCCACTGGGCTTGGCTTACGTTATTTGCACAGTTTTCAGCTGGATGGGACCAAACGGGGCCTTGACTTCCAGAATGTCCACATTATTCCCAAAGGGGTGACATCTATTTGTTCACTCAAGTATTTGTGAGTGTACCTGCTGTGTGCCAGGTGCCAGGTCCTGAATCGAAGCCGGAACAACTCTTGGCAGTGAGCTCCCAGGGGTCTGGTTTTCTGAACTGTGGGAAGACAGGTCAGCAGATAGCCATGCACATCTGCACATGTGTGGCTGGTGTGTGCAGGAGTACCGAGAAGACGGTGAGCTCCACCCTGGATGCCACAGGAAAGGGCGTTCCTGCACAGCTGTCGGTCCTGGCACATGTAGCAGGCTGCAAGCGGGGCCAGGAAGATGCACAGGCCGGAGGGGACAGAAGCGCACGTCCCGGGCACTGCAGGTGTGCTCTGCAGTGGGTCGCACAGGCTGGTTCCGGGGAGATGTCAGCGAGGCCCTGCAGCCTAGGGCACTGCCTGCTTGTCTCCCAGAAAGACATTCAGTCACTCAAAGCCAGTGCAGGTCCCAGCTTTGTCCGGGGAGGAACTTTCACTCTAGAAAACACGAAGTCATTTCCCTTTGAGGAAGTTATTCCTCCAGGTTATCATTTCCAGCCATCACCCAGGACGCGGAGAAGGTGCTGCAGTGCCCAAAGCACGGCTGTCCGAGAAGCTTGTCCCTTAGAAACCCCATGTGGGCTGGGAGGTGCCTGTCTGCCTCCCTGAGAGCAGAACCCTGTCCCCTTCGGGCTGCCAGACTGGCTAGGCAGGTGCTGGGGAAGTCTGGGTGGCCGTGCGGAGCCCCTCATAGGCCTTGGAGTTGAGACCTCCTAGCTCTTCGGCTGCCTCCCAATCATGGTCACATCTCATGATACCAATGTCCACGAGAAATGAAAAAGTACGTGATTCCAACCTGTGGCCTGACCCACCTAAGAGGCCTTAGAATGCTGGGTTTTGACTGGAACAGTGGCTTTGAGTCTACTGAGGGGATTCGCTTCCTAATGTCCCGAGTGAATGAATTAACCTGTTGGGCAGGGAAACTTAGGTTCATTTTCTGTGGGGGGACATTTGCCAAATGCAGTGAAATCAGTTGACACTGAGCTACTCTGACAGTGACTCAGCCTCAGCTCCAGCTGCTTCCCCAGCCCTGTGGTGGAGGTGGCAGATGATGTCATCAGCCTGGAGCAGAGGGCTCTGCCCACTGGCATCACAAGGGCCAGACCTGCTGGTCCTTCAGCTGCTGGCTCCAAGTAGTTAAATAGGAGTTTGAAAGAAGAGACCCAGGGCTGGGTGCAGTGGCTTATGCTTGTAATCCCAGCACTTTAGGAGGCCGAGGTGGGTGATCAGTTGAGGTCAGGATTCAAGACCAGCCTGGCCAACATGGTGAAACTCTGCCTCTACTAAAAATATATTAAAAAAAAAAAAAAAGCCGGGAGTGGTGGTGGGTGCCCGTAGTCCCAGCTATTTGGGAGGCTGAGGTAGGAGAATTGCTTGAACCTGGGAGGCAGAGGTTACAATGAGCCAAGATCAGCCACTGCACTCCAGCCTGGGCAACAGAGCCAGACTCTGTCTAAGTAAATAAATAAATAAATAAATAAATAAATAAATAAATAAATAAATAAAAATAAGAGAGGCAGGGTGTGGTGGCTCACACCTGTAATCCCAGCACTTTGGGAAGCCAAGTTGGGAGGATTGCTTGAGGCCAGGAGTTTGAGACCAGCCTGGGTAACAAAGCAAGACCCTGTGTCTACCAAAATAATAATTTAAAAAATTATCCCGGCATGGTGTGATGTGCCTGTGGTCCCAGCTACTCTGGAGGCTGAGGTGGGAGAATTGCTCATACCTAGGAGGTTGATGCTGCAGTGAGCCGTGATCACACAACTGCACCACTCTAGCCTGGCGACAGAGCAAGATTTCATCTCTGGAAGAAAAAAAAAAAAAAAAAAAAGGCTTGGATGCAGCTTTGTTTTTTGTCACTTATAACTGGAATTTTGTCTATCAAAAGCCTATTGTGCCCGACTGCAGCGGTAGTGGTCTGACGCGGGCTTTGAAGAGGGCCTGACAGCCTAGGGACAGGCTTGGCGTTCCAAGTTGATGAAAGAAAGATGAATGGTGAAAAATAATGGGTTGTTCTCAAGCAGTGCCTTTTCACACTGGACCAAGGTATAATTTGGGTCCATTTCAAGGGAAATATGCTAGCAGAATTCATCAGAGTAGCCCCTCGAAGACTGGTGCCTAATGCCTAGGGGACAATTTAATCAGTGGTTCCAGCTGCACATCTAGGGTTGGAAACACTGAACCCAGGCTTTCTCACACAGATGGCGCATAGATGCTAACGTGGCTTGTCTCGCAGGCCTGCAGCACGAGTGAAACACACATCTATTCTACGGAGACGCGGCTCTGTGGTGCTGAAACCTCCTTCTAGATTACAGTGGCATTAAGTTGTTTTTTTTTCCTTTTTCTTTCTTTTTTTTTTGAGATGGAGTCTTGCTCTGTCACCCAGGCTGGAGTGCAGTGGTGTGATCTCGGCTCACTGCAACCTCCACCTGGGAGGTTCAAGCGATTCTCCTGCCTCAGCCTCCTGAGCAGCTGGGACTACAGGCAGGAGCCACCACACCTGGCTAATTTTTGTATTGTTAATAGAGACAGGGTTTCGCCATGTTGGCCAGGCTGGTCTTGAACTCCTGACCTCAAGTGTTCTGCCCGCCTCGGCCTCCAAAAGTGCTGAGATTATAGGCGTGAGCCACCCAACCTGGCCTTTTTTCTTTCTTTCTTTTTTTTTTTTTTAAATAAGATCTCATTCTGTTGATCACAGCCACAGCTCACTGCAGCCTCCACCTCCTGCCTGGGCTCAATCGATCCTTTCACCTTGGCCTCCCCCGTAGCTGAGACCACAGGTACGAGCCACCACATCTGGCCCTACTTAAACTTTATGTAGGTGCAATAACAGAGCTTCTGAAACCAGCCCTCAGCTCAAGAGAAGGGGAAGCCGGGTGCAATGGCTCAAGCCTGTAATTCCAGCACTTTGGGAAGCCAAGGCAGGAGGATCACTTGAACCCTGGAGTTCGAGACCAGCCTGAGCAGCAAAGGGAGACCATGTCTCTAAAAAAATAAATAAATAAAAAACAGAGAGAAGGGAAGTCATTGGGAGGATGCAGGTGGGGCACGCAGCCCAAACCGGGTGCCTCTGTTCTTCCCGCCCAGTCAGTTCGTACCTTGCACATGCACAAAGGTGTCGACCGAACCAAAGCAATATTGATTCTTTTTTTTTTTTTTTTTTTGAGACGGAGTTTCGCTCTTGTTACCCAGGCTGGAGTGCAATGGCGCGATCTCGGCTCACCGCAACCTCCGCCTCCTGGGCTCAGGCAATTCTCCTGCCTCAGCCTCCTGAGTAGCTGGGATTACAGGCACGCGCCACCATGCCCAGCTAATTTTTTTGTATTTTTAGTAGAGACGGGGTTTCACCATGTTGACCAGGCTGGTCTCGATCTCTCGACCGCGTGATCCACCCGTCTCGGCCTCCCAAAGTGCTGGGATTACAGGCTTGAGCCACCGCGCCCGGCGCAATATTGATTCTTGTTATATCGCTGTATTGTGGCGTCAGTGTTAGAGTACCACGAGTTTTCATTAGCCACCGTTCCTTCCCCAGCTGTAGTCAGTTTAGGGAGGGAAAGAGGCCCTACCCCCCATCCCTATTCCTCCTGCCTTCATAGCGGCTGCTACTCTCTGAGTACCCGTTGAGTTCTTTCACCTTCCAGGTCTAACATGCTCTCCCACACCCCTGGAGAGCAGGGCTGCTGGATGCCACAGGGCTCCTAGAGAGGGGCTGTGGTCAGGGAAGCCCCAGCTCCAAGGGGGGCCGGAAAACCCCAGAGCCATCCACTGCAGCAACAGTCTTTGGTGCTGCAGGTGAGGACAGCTACAAAATACCTGAGCCATTCTGTCACTCGGTCTGAACTCCGTTTGAAATACTGTTTCAGTAACTGCTAAGATGGTTTTTCCTTCCTGACTATAATCCTCAAACCAACAAGAGCCCAGCAGAGGAAAAGGTGGCCAAAACACCCCCAGAGGAGAGCTTTGGCTTGACCTCAAAGGGCCACCATCGGGGAGGATGTCCTCAAACCTCTGACCCCCTCTCTGCAGGCTCTGCCCAGCCCTGTGTAGCGACCCAAAGGAAGCCTCTCCTTCGTTTAAGATTTAACCCCAGGCGTCCCGCGATGGCTGCCGCCTGTCCCTTCCACCTGCATGGCTGCCCCCAGGGGGAGTGCTCATCTGACTACTCCGGATGAGAGGCTCCCCGCAGGGCCGGGTGGGGGGCCTCTCCGCGGCTCCTCTGCCTCCTACCCCCAGTGGCACCCAACGCCTGTCCTAGAAGGTTCTTTCTGCCTGTTTGCTCGGTGAGTGGCTGGAGAGGCAGAGGCCGGCCTTGCTGGAGGGAGCGTTCGTAATTAGGAGCCAATCTAAAGCAGGGTCTTTTCCTTCCGCAGCCTCCGGCGCAGCCACGGGGCTCACTCACTGCACGTTACCGATGCCTTCGGCTTGGTCCTCGGGACTGATACAGACCAGGACCCAGGGCCAGCCCGGGCCAGGCTCCTATGCTTCCAGCAGCGCGGGGTCCTGCTGCCGTCGGCCTCTGGCGGCCCCTTCCTCCTCCTCCGCAGCCCCGCACAGCAGGGCCGGGCAGGTGCTTCCCGTTTGGCTGCCGAAGAGCCGAGAGTTCACAGATTGAGGAACGAGCCCAGGGACCCGGCCAGCCCGTGCGGGCGCTGGGACCGGAGCCCAGGTCCCGGGTTCGCCGCGCGACTCCCGACTTCCTCTCCTTTCGCCCAGCGGGGAGCTCGGCCACCGCAGAGAGGTGAGGTGGATCTTACCTCCCTGCGACCCAGGGGCCCCGCAAGGCCACCGCGCGGGCGGGAGCCGGGACGGACCCAGAAGAGCCTGCGGGAAACGCCTGCCCCCCGCCCCCGGCTCCCGCGCGCCCCCCGGCTGCCACGCCCCAGCGCCCTGGCTCCGCGCATCCCCCGCCGACCCTGGTCCTAACCCCGCTGGGCGCGCTGCTCAGCTTCGAGCTCCTGGCAGCTGCGGTCGCCAGCGACTGCTGGTACATCCTGGAGGTGGCGGACGCCGGCGACCGCAGCTCCGGGCCGGGGAGCGCAGAGCAGCTCTCCTCGAACTCGGGGCTCTGGCGCATCCGCGAAGTAACCGGCCGCCCCGCCCGCCCTCCTCCCTTCGCGACCTCTCCCCTCTGACCCCCACCCCGTCCGTGTCGCCCCGCCCTCTCCCCTCTGACCCCCGCCCCGCCCCGCCGCGTCGCCCTGCCAGACCCCCTCCCAGAACCCCTCCCTTGCATCCCACTCTGCCCCATGGGGTCTCTCAGTTCCCTCCCCATCACCCAGCGTCTCCCCCCACAGCTGTTGCAATGGCAGCCTGGGGGCTGCAGGAGGGAGGGAGCTCTGATCAGGGCGCCTCAGCCGGAGGAGCGGGCTGTGGCGGGGTCGGGGGTGCGGAGTGGGGAGGTGGGAAGCCCCATGTGTGTAGCTGGGGGTGCTCATCCAAGTGGCCACGGGTTGTTTCCGGATCACCTTCCTAGGGGTGTGGGCCTGGCAGCCCCTTGTCCCTTACCCTGGCAGGCACCGTCAGAGCTGCTCTCCACACACCGGAGACCGCAGGGGTGAGGGCAGGGGTTCCAAATGTGTGCAGAGGCTTCAGGATTCCAGCAGGCTGGAGGGTCCCCAGGGCCCCTCCATTCCCCCGGCTCCCTCCTCAGGAGCTGGGGCTAGCCCGGGGAGCTTCCCCTGCACAGGGCGAGCGCTGGCAGGGCAGGGATGTGTGTGAGTGCATGTGCGTGTGTGAGTGTGCCTACATGTGCGTATGAATGTGTCTGCATGTGCTGAACATGAACATGTGTGAGCACCCAGCTGTGTTTGTAAATATTGTATCTGTGTGTGTGCAATTGTGTGTGCATGTGAATGAGTGCGTGTGAGCATGTCAGTGTGCATGTGAGTGTCAGCTTGTATGTGAGCGCATGCGTGGGTGGTGCGCGTGTGCTGTGGCTTCCTAAGTGCACCTGGGGGGGAGTTAGGAGCCGCGTGTTCATCCATCCAACAGACCGCCTAGCTGTTCTCCTCCAAAGACCTCCTTACATGGCCAGGCGCGGTGGGTTGCGCCTGTAATCCCAGCACCTTGGGAGACCTAGGCGGGTGGATCACTTGAGGCCAAGAGTTGGAGACCAGCCTGGCCAACATGGTGAAACCCTGTCTCTACTAAATATACAAAAATTAGCGGGGCGGCGTGGTGGTGCAGCTACTTGAGAGGCTGAGGCTGGAGAATTGCTTGAACCTGAGAGGTGGAGGTTGCGGTGAGCCGAGATTGCACCACTGCACTCCAGCCTGGACAACAGAGCCCGACTGTGTCTCCAAAAAAAAAAAAAAAAAAGCCCTCCTGACAGGCATGTGTAGGCCAGTGGCTCTTCACACGTGTGAGAATCAGCACGTATGCCCACGTGACGGGAGTCACGATGATTCCGGGGAGGCTGCCCAGTGAGCCCATTTCACACACACCTTTTTCCTTTCAGGGAAAGCCTGACTTCCACACACACATGGATTACAGGGACCCCTGTCTGAGGCGCCCTGGGGGGCCTCCATGGAGCATTTGAAATTTTAAACATGGCATCTGTGCAGGTGTCCCATGCACGTGAAAATAAACAAGACAAAAGGTGTCAGACCTTCCATCCCGCTTGGAGTCTCAGCTCCGAGTTTCAGTAGGAGACAGAACATGGCAGGGCCCTGTGGTGCCGGGGGGTCCCCTGGGCTCGGGCGGGCTGCTGGGTGCCCCTGGCGTCTGGGCCCCAAGCTGAGTCTTCTGTTTCCCAGGACAGAACAGCTGCATAGCTTCGCCAGTGAGAGCCTGGACGCCTCCGCCTCTGCCTCAGTGCAGCACCTCATCCGTGAGTCCTGGGGGGGGGGCCACCTTCCCTTCCTTCCTGAATATTCAGGCAAGGCTGGATCCCAGCCACCCCCATCCCCACCCCACAGCACTGCTTCCACCGGCCCCTACATTTCCCCGAGGAGGTTTCCACACATACCTGCTGTCCCTAGCCACAGGGGCCCGGCTCCCAGCCTGTCCTGTTCTTCCCCTGTCTCAGTTTCCCTCTCAGTGGCGATGCTCACTCCTTTGTTGTTGGGGAAACCAGGCAGCTCCAAGCGTGGCTGGATCCTGCGGGCCCTGCAGACTCCCGGCTCCCCATTTCTGGCGCCTCCCACCTGTAGGGTTGAGGGACATGTGAGGCTCCAGAATGGGGGTTGGCAGGGTGCTGGGGACAACTCCCTCTCCTAGCCTCAGGAAGCCCCTGCCAGGGTGAGAGGGCGCCACTGGGAGGGTCCACTGGTTTTCACAGAGAGATGTGCCAGCTGCTTTTCTTAGAAGGTGGGACAGCAAGTTGCTGTCCTCCGGCACACAGGTGCTGAAGGGCCCACGGGGACCCTCTCACGCGAGCCCCCTCTCCCGCAGCACTGCACGGTGTGGTCATGGTGTTCCTGCCCCTGAGCTGCTCCTTCCTGTGTGTGGCTGGATCTGTGGACTGCTCAGCTCCCTGGCCCAGAGAGCGCCTCTGCTGCTCTCCACCCGCTGCTGCTTCCTGCTGGGGCCCTGGGGGAGTGGCTTCAAAGATGGGAGCTGGGCCACAGGTCCTAGGAGTGGGTGCTGCTTCTTCTGTTGTCCTTGTCCCCCGCTGAGCTGGGGATGGAGCCATGGCAGGCAGCTCCCTGTGGTTCCAGAAGGTAGGCATGTGTAGTTGTTCTCCCATTGCCACAAAGAAATGCCTGAGGCTGAATAATTTATGAAGAAAAGAGGTTTAGGCTGGGCGCGGTGGCTCACGCCTGTAATCCCAGTGCTTTGGGAGGCTAAGGTGGGTGGATCACCTGAGGTCAGGAGTTCAAGACCAGCCTGACCAACATGGCGAAACCCCATCTTTACTAAAAATACAAAAATTAGCTGGGCTTATAAAGAGAAGAGGTTTAACTGGCTCATGATTTCGCATGCTGTAGGGGAAGCGTGATACTGACATCTGCTCAGCTTCTGGGGAGGCCTCAGGAAAATGGCAATCATGGGTGGAAGGCCAAGGTGGGGAGCCAGCGTTTCCCATGGCTGGAACAGGAGGAAGAGAGAGTGGGGAGGTGCAACACACTTTTAAACAACCAGATCTCAGAACTGACTATCCAGAGAACAGCGCCAAGGGGAACGGTGCTAACCCATTCCCGAGAAGCCACCGCCACAATCCAATCACCTCCCACCAGGCCCCGCCTTCAACACGGGATTACCCTTCGACATGGGATTTGGGCCGGGTGCCAAACCATAGCACCATGATAGGAGCAGGGCTTCTGGGCCAGAGCCCGGGGTGGGCAGGAGCACCAGGGTCCAAGGTTCTTGGCATGGCGGGCATAAGGGCCTCCAGGGCGAGCCAGGGTCTGCTCTGCTGCATCAGATCATGCTGGGGGCCTGGGGAAAGCCCCTCATCACTGCCTTCTCCTTCCCAGACTGTCCTGCTGGGAGGAGGAAGGGCACACGGGTTTGGCACAGACGAGGCAGGGCCAGGAATGAAGGCAGGTGGGACAGGGCACCAGAGGCTTCAGCACTGACCCCGGCATAAGCTGAGACTGTAACTGGTAACCACCCATCAGCTGACATGGCTCCAGTTCCCGCTGCCTGCCGGGTGCTGGGCCATGTGCTCCCCCGAAGGCTCCCCAGTCCCAGCTACAAGTGAGAGATCCGAGGCCGAGGCCGATGAGGTCCTGGGCTCCCCTTCGCCCCTCCCGGTGCCGTCTCCTCAGTTTCCACGCACTGCCCAGCACTGGCTGTGCCTGGAGATGGACTGGGGGCTCCTGACAGCCCGTCCTCAGCCGCCTCCATCATCCAGGGCCAGCCCGAGCCAGGCCTGGTGTCTCAGGCCAGCTCCACCATCAAGGTTGTGGCCACAAGGAGCAGACCGCCCAGGGCTGGGGGCGCCCTCCCTGCTTCTCTGGGCTTTTGGGGAGGCCTCTGTCACTGAGGAGGCCCAGCTGGGAGCAGAGATTGGGGAAACCAGCAGCCTTGGTGCTGGTCACAGGCCACAGGAGAACAGCATTGAAGCCAAGGGCTCCTCTAGACAATGAAGTCAGGAAGCATCCAAATGACCTGACCGTGGGCCCATCTGGGAGTTTTCAGAATCCAATTAAGAGGACCCTGGAGAGCTGGTGACAGGAGTGATTGGGGTGGAGTTGTAACAGGGAGATGCTGACGGGAGGGAGGGGGTTGGGGTTGTAACCGGGAGACGGTGATGGAGAACGTAGTATCTGTGTTTTGCCTGGGAGTGAAGGCACCGGCTAGGGGGCAGAGGGTCTGGAGGCGGCTGGTGGGTGGGTGGGGGCTCCACTGGGACTCCAGCTTCCCCAGGCAGAGGGGGGCCTCCACTCTGAGAATAAGGGTCAGCTGCGGGCCGAAGCAGAGGGCTCTCAGGATGTCACACCAAGGGCACCTGCCTAGGGTCAGCCCGCCCCTCACCCCTCACTAGCACTGCAAGGATGGGGAATGAGATGGAGGTTCCCAGATGGACTGAGCGCCCTTCCCTGAGACAGGATCATGGAGAGCCTGAAGGACCGACAGGGCCTGGGGTGACAGAGTTCTCTAGAGTTGCCCAGATTGAGGTTGCAGGCGCCCCGTGGCGAGGCCTCCTGCAGGAGGTGTGAGGCGGGAGGTGGGTGTGCATGTGTGGGTGTGCATGTGTACGTGTGTGTTGGATTGTGTACAGGTGTGTGCACGTGGATGTGTGTGGATGTGTGTAAATGTGTACGTGTATGTCTGTGTGCGTGTGCATGTGTGCTGGGGTCCACGGAGGATGCAGGGTGTGGGGGGGGCAGTTCTGTGAGCGGGGAGGGGCAGGTGGTGCTGTTTGAAGGAGGCTTTGCAAGATGAGGTCTCTGGGGTTTGAGGACTGAATTGGAGCCTCTTAAAGCTCCACTCCCCGACATGCAGTTGAGCAGCTGTAGCCCCGTCCAGACCCAAGCAGGAGGGGTGTCTGGGAGAGTAACCAGCACAGGAAGGGTGGTACGCAGCCTGCGGCTCTGCCTGAATGCCAGTGTGGCTGGGCTCCAGGCGATGTCTGCAGGACCGCCCGAGCCTGTCGGAGCAGACACGGAGCAGCCGCCCTCCCATGTCTCCCCCAGGTGCCCTGACCCTGGCAGGGGTCAGCATCTACGTCAGGTACACGCACCCGGCCTTCACGGAGACTGCACGGCAGTACGGCCCGAAGCACGTGCGGGGTGTTTGCATCAGCTTCGGCTGGTCCCTGGCCCTGGCCTGGGGCTTCTGCACGTCGGAGGCCCTCGACGGAGCCCTCCTGGTCTCAGCCGCTGAGACCCCCACTCTGTGGTCATCCGAGTCCCCAGCAGGTGGGAGGGAGGTGAGAGGTGGCTGAGCTTCCCTTTGTACGTCCCGGATTGGGCGGTCAGGGCCAGGGCCCCGTGAGAGGCTGGAAATCCCTTCCCTGGGCCTGGCTGGGGTCCTGGCCAGGAAGGAGCCCTGCGGGTAAAAAGGGGTGGGGCAGAGCCAAGAATCCAGCTCCTTGTGTGTCTCCCTAGATGTTTGGGGAGGCCCCCCTGCCCTGGACTAACTGGTTTAACCACCCCTTAGTGATGAGAAGAGTTCAGAAAAGAGGAAGTAAGTGATCTAGGTGAGGCAGAGTTGGGTGGGGGTGCCTCTTAAGAGTGTGGCCTGGCCGGGCGCGGTGGCTCAAGCCTGTAATCCCAGCACTTTGGGAGGCCGAGGCGGGTGGATCACGAGGTCGAGAGATCGAGACCATCCTGGTCAACATGGTGAAACCCCGTCTCTACTAAAAATACAAAACATTAGCTGGGCGTGGTGGCGCGTGCCTGTAATCCCAGCTACTCAGGAGGCTGAGGCAGGAGAATTGCCTGAACCCAGGAGGCGGAGGTTGCGGTGAGCCGAGATCGCGCCATTGCACTCCAGCCTGGGTAACAAGAGCGAAACTCCGTCTAAAAAAAAAAAAAAAAAAAAAAAAAGAGTGTGGCCTGAACTTGCCCCTCCCCCGGCAGGCACAAGAGCCACTGCTGCCTCCATTCCCGGGGTATCCCTGGGAGAAAAGGAGGTCTCTGTTAAATGCCGCGGCGCTGGGCGCCAGGCTACTCTCCAGTCCCGCAGTGGCCCTACTAAATGGATATCCATCCATTTCACAGAGGGAGGACGGAGGCCCAGAGCGGCAGAGACACCCACCCAGGTCACCTGGAGCCAGAGAGATGCCGTCTCAGGCCGTGGCCTCCGAGGCCTCAGTTCTGTTCACTCTCCCGGGAGGGCAGGCTTGGTGGGGAAGAGCTAAGAGGGCATGAGAGGCCCCTGCAATTTGCAGGTATCGGGGGCGAGGATCGGACCAAGCCAGATGTGCCCCCCACCCCCTCCCGTGTCTTCAGGCCTGCTAGGTGCTTTTCACCGAGCGCTTCTGGGCAGAGCAGGCGCACAGACCTCTGTTCTTGTCCTGGCACTGGCCGCCGCTGCTTCCGGCCCTAACCCTTCCTCTCTGCAGCAACCTGGGGGAGGTGTGGAGCTGACAGAGGTGGAAGTCCCTGAAGGGTGGGGTGGGGGTGTCACTCCATGGTGGAGGAGTTTGGGACCACTCCTTGCCTGCCTCAAAGTGGACCTGGCTAAGGGGGCTTACTGGCCACAGGGGCCAGCGCTGCCTAGGGTGGCGCAAGGCTGGGCCTGCAGTTTGAGATCCAGGCTTGTTAAATAGAGGGCAGAACCACAGGCGGGAGGGGCTCAGCTTGCAGGCCCAGGCCCGTAGGCCCGCTGCTGGTCCCAGCGGGAGACAGTTCTCACACACTTGAGTCGCCTGGGGCCACAAAGGCTGGGCCACACCCATCGTTACGCAGATGGACACTTGAGGCAGCGGCACGAGAAGGGTTCCCAGGGCCTGTGCAGTGGCCTGTTTGGGGTTTGGGGGCCCTTCCCAAGTCTTGAGAGGTGCGCTAGGGAAGGTGGTGGCCTCTCTTGGCTTGGTCTCCCTGCCGGCCCCGTCCCACCCCTAGGTCTCTTTATTGATTCAGAGGTTCAGGAAGCTCCTGGGGTCTCAAGGGGGTGACACGGTTTCGGTGGGGCCCAGTGAGGACAAAGCTGGGGGGTGAGTGGGGCCTCCTCTTCCTCCTGGTGTTTGAAAGTTTACCATTCCATGTGGGATTATTGTGCCAGTTTGTCCTTACATGAATCACTTGTGCTGTGTGCCATATAAGCCTTTTATTTTTCTTAGAACTTTTAAAAATAGGTAACACATGCCCGTCTATCACAAGCAGCGCAAAGGCGAGCCAACACTGTCACCAGCTGTCCGTCCGTCCAGAGGTGTTCTGTGAACAAGTGTGCGTGCGTGTCCGCCTACGTGTTTTGGTCCACCGTGAAGCCATCTGCAGACAGAGCAGGGCTCCTTCTTATTCCCAGGTCAGCACAGGGATAGGGGGTCCCTGGGTCTCTGTGTTGGAAACGGGGGCTGGCTTTGTGGGCACGTCCTCTCAGCTTGGGAGGACAGGTGGCGGGGGTGGGGGGGGCTCTTCCTCTCCTCCTGCTCTCCAGCATTTCCCCAGTGCTGTGGTTTCTCAGAGCTGTGCCTCCAGTCCAAGCCCTCTCCTGAGCTCGGCGCTTGTATTCCTGGCAGCTTCTTAACCACCTCTTCTTGGGATCTCAAAGTTAACACTCTTAAGCTGAAGTCCCTCCTTTACCATTCTAAAATGAATCCTCCCTCTGGGATTCCTATTAAGGGCTTTCCAAAGCCCCGAAGCGATTGCATATCTCCCATCTTTAATACACACACACAGGTTCATATACATATATACATATCTCGAATGAAATAAACAAAAAATATTAGTGGTTATTCTTGCATGATAAAAATATAGGTAATTTTTATTTTTTATTTTGTTTTATTATTATTATTATTATTTTTGAGATGGAATCTCGCTCTGTTGCCCTGGCTGGAGTGCAGTGGTGGGATCTCAGTTCACTGCCACCTCCACCTCCCAGGTTCAAGCAATTCTCCTACTTCAGCCCCGCTGAGTAGATGGAATTACAGGTGCACACCACCAGGCCCAGATAATTTTTGTATGTTTAGTAGAAACAGGGTTTTGCCATGTTGGCCAGGCTGGTGTTGAACTCCTGACCTCAGGTGATCCACCCACCTTGGCCTGCCAAAGTGCTGGGATTATATGTGTGAGCCACCATGCCCAGCATCTTTATTCTTTTTAATATTATTACAAATTATTTATACTTCCTTTATCTTGTTCTTGATCAGTCTTATTAATGGTTTATCGATTTTATTACCATTTTCAAAGAACCACTTTTGGTTTGTCTGTATATTTTCTCTTTTGATTTATCTCCCTCTTCACTAATTCTCTCTCCAGCTGTGTCTCATCTACTATTAAACCTAGCCACTGGGTTCTTATCATATTTTTCAGTTCTAGAATTTCCATGTGGCCTTCTTACTGTTTCAAGTTTCCTGACAAACTTTATATCTTGCCTTATAATTCCTTGAATATTTTATTTTTATTTTTTTGAGATGGGGTCTCTCTGTGTCATCCAGGCTGGAGCGCAGTGGCACAATCTCAGCTCACTGCAACCTCCACCTCTTGGGCTCAAGCGATCCTCCCACCTCGGTCTCCCATGTAGCTGGGTCTGCAGGTGCACGCTGCCACATCTGGCTAATTTTTGTACTTTTTAGTAGAAATAGAGTTTTGCCATATTGCCCAGGCTGGTCTTGAACTCCTGGGTTCAAGCAATCTGCCTACCTCGGACTCCCAAAGTGCTGGGATTACAGGCATGAGCTGTCACACCCAGCCTAGAATATTTTATTTTATTTGTTTACTTTGAGACAGAGTCTCACTCTGTTGCCCAGGCTGGAGTGCAGTGGCACAATCTTGGCTCAGTGCAACCTCTGCCTCCCGGGTTCAAGCAATTCTCCCTCAGCCTCCAGAGTAGCTGGGATTACAGATACATGCCACCATGCCCAGCTAATTTTTGTATTTTTAGGAGAGACAGGGTGTATTCTCCTTTTTAATATACACAGTTGGCCAGGCTGGTGTCAAACCCCTGATCTCAAGTGATTCACTCACCTCGGCCTCCCAAAGTGCCGGGATGACAGGCGTGAGCCATCATACCTGGGCTATTTTTTTTTTTTTTTTTTTTTTTTGAGACGGAGTTTTGCTCTTGTTACCCAGGCTGGAGTGCAATGGCGCGATCTCGGCTCACCGCAACCTCCGCCTCCTGGGTTCAGGCAATTCTCCTGCCTCAGCCTCCTGAGTAGCTGGGATTATAGGCACGTGCCACCATGCCCAGCTAATTTTTTGTATTTTTAGTAGAGACGGGGTTTCACCATGTTGACCAGGTTGGTCTCGAGCTCTCGACCTTGTGATCCACCCGCCTCGGCCTCCCAAAGTGCTGGGATTACAGGCTTGAGCCACCGCGCCCGGCCACCTGGGCTATTTTTTAAGAGATGGGTCTCCCTCTGTCACAGAGTCACAGTGCTCCAGGATGCGGACGGGTGGTACAGGCAGGGTCACTGCCACGGTCATCGGCTCGGCCCCGTCCAGGTGGACGCAGGCGCAGTAGGTCTGGGCCAGGAGGTGCACCTGGGGAGGAGGTGCAGGCAGAGTCAGAGGGGCCAGACTAGAGGGAGTTGTGGAGGGAGGAGGGGTCTGGGCTTGGCTGCCTGGGGAATCACAAGGGGTCAGGAGACCTGGCTAGTGACTGGCTCTGGCGATCAGGGCTCCCGAGTAGTCAGGCCGTGGTGCCAGAGCCTCCGTGCCGTGCTCTGGGAGGGGCTGGGGGTGCACATTTAACTCAGTTTCATCAGGAACTGACCACGGGCCAAACGCTGGCCGTGGGCCAACGGTAAATACATGTCACCTCACTTAGGCTGCATGACAACTTTATGAGGGAGACGCCACTGCTCCCATTTCACAGGTGAGGGACGCAAGGCTTGGAGAGGTAGCCTGCTGCCTAACTAGCGTCTGGCGAACAGCAGAGCTCAGATGCTGCGACCTCCTCACCTGGCCCCCAGGTGGCAAGGAGCAGGTGGAAGGACTCACACGAGCCTTGTGGGGCGCACGTCTCCAGGCCAGGCCAGCAGGCTCCGGTGCTGCTCTGGGGCCCGGCTCTCAGGGCTTGGGGGTGGGGGCCCTCACCTGGGCCAGTCATTCCCTTTGTGTCTTCGCCTAGGATCATACCTGTCCTTCCTGTGACAGGTCTGGCGGCTGATGGGTGCCCTGGCACAAATCAGAGGGGACTGAACCCCAGGATGGGGCCAGGGGCACAGGAAGCCAGGTTCAGGCTGGTGGGGGTTGCACAGTGGCAGCCGGGCCCATCTGGCATAGGTGTTGATGGGGAGGACCCTGCGCCCAGCTGCCATGTCAGTTCTCCAGTAACTGAGCTGGCAGACCTGCTGGCAGGGGCCCCGGATGCCCGTGTGATCATCCTCTCCAGCTCAGCCAGGTCCAGGGTGCTGCAGGGCAGGGCTGGGAGGGGGTGGGAGTGCACCCCTGCGATCTGTAGGTTGGGGAGGAAACAAGGGCTGAGGGGTCCAGGGGCACCTCCTGGCGGAATGGGGGGGCTCCTCTGGAGTCAGGAGCCCTACCCTGAGTCCTGTGCCTACTCCCCCCAGGCCTGGGCCTT